GTACTGTAGCACTTTCCTCAGTATAAAGTTTCTATGACTGTTTCCTTCATATTCGTACATTAGAACTACTTCGAAACAAAACCATACCTATTGACAGAAGAAAGACAGGAGTCGCTCCTGTCACAGAAGTCGATGATCCACGGTCGAGAATCGTATGGTTGCCATGAGGTCGTCAACGCTTCGATATTATCGGACTTCAGATGAAGAACCTGAAATCCGAAGACATATACGTACAAAAAGATGCAGTGAAAAGAATCACCGTATTTTCTGTGGGTATGAGGCGCTCTAAAATACTCACAAGGCTGCAGAGAAGCAGACAACAACGCCTGCGAAAATCTTCTGGACAAAGCAGCAGGCTCTTTGCCTTTTCTGCTTATTTTAGTCCTTTAATTGGTTTTCTAATATTTCTGATTTATAGGAGATCACTCACATACGTTTCAACAAACAAATAACTCGAAAAGGAAAACGAGGAGAACTCCTCGGTTCGAAGCCAAGGTGCGCCCTACACACAGGTGTGCCTCATACCCCACAAAATTGTGTGCTCTTATTCGGGAACTCTTTCTTTCAAGATTCAAATTCGAAAAGTGTTCGCTCCTTGGATACACTAGGATCGATAGATAGAAGTCATGATCCCAGCTTGCTCTCGAACCCGCATCTCCCGCTGGCTGGGATAGTGCGCATCGATAGCGCACTATCCCAGCCAGCGGGAGATGCGGGTTCGAGCGCAGCCTGGGATCATGACTTTTGCTCGTAACTCAGTATTCTTGTGATAAATTCGGAACGAAAACTGCGAATTTAAACAGTATTCATCAAGTTAGAACAATTTTCGCTTCTTTTGGAAATTAAAAAAATTCGCAGACTATATCTTCGAATTATTTGCAAAGCTTCCTCTGCTTGGATCTAGCCGTACTTCTCAAAATGAAGAATTCCTGCCCTGCCCACCACGTCTGCCCGATACTTAATACCAGCGTCCGGTTTCGATTAATTCGGTCCGGTTTTCCACTAATTAGAGAATGAACACCATAACATTTTCTGGTAGAGTAAACAAAACAGCCAAACACACCCACCTCGGATGTCATTCGTTGCATTATGAACTCTTGCAGTAGTTCGACATCACGCACTCCACCATAGAATTCGCCCTGCAATGAAAAATTAAGTTAGTTTTACTAAGAACCGGTGTATAAAGACAATCGGCAACGATAAAGTTCCCTAAGTTCGGCGTAGGAACGGAACGCCTAGCAGGACGGAATTCCGCCACCGTGACCAGGTGCTGTGTAGCGCCTTCCCCAAGGGAGGTACCCTCATAAGGCCTTATCAGGCTACAACATACCGACCCCGAACGCCCACCGCGCCCGTCCGCCCACAAATGGACGATCGTACCTGATGCTCGCATCGCTTCATTTGCAAAGTACAGTGTGAAGCGAAGGGATTGATACGAAGCGGCCGCGGTGCTGCATTGATATATGAGAACATACGTGCAAGCGTTATATACCGTAGCGATTATTGGCACGATGACTATGGGAAACTCGTCCCCAAATCTGCTTGTTGAATCATTAAGAACGACAGGCTTTTCTCGCAAGTTTTTTTTGAACCGTTTCAGCTTCCTTTTCGCTTCTCCCACCTATATAGCACCCAGTTAAGCATTTAGCAGAGTACCAAATTATCGTGGCCAACTGCCTTAAGCGATCAACTGGAGCCGGACAAGCTCTGGGCGAAACGGTTTGGCACAAGTCGGCTCCAGCCTGACCAGTAAGGAGATGGCAAGCTGTTAATGCAGATCTGCAATTACCGACAGGTCTTGTAAGGGCAAAATTACGAAATGCAACCTAATTGGTTGAGTTACCAAGTAAAGGAAACAGAGGTCGACTCCATCCAGAAGAGACCTTCTCTCCTTCCTTCTTTCAGTCTTTTCGGCGCTGAAGAGTAACACAGGCAAAGAAGACACTGGTGAGGCAGAGGAATAACCAGGGACATAAAGATGAAGAGAGCAAAAAAACGAGCGAGGGTAGCAACAGACAGTATCCCACAGACTACGCGCACCCAGCGCCGTTTTAGTCGCTGCTGATGAGTGTTGTTGCTGACGTACGACGACCTCGGCGCCCCTGTCGCTCAGTTCCGAGCCGAGAGTCCGGTGCAAATCTTCCCGACTGAGACCGCCGCGACTATAGAGGGAGCGTTTCTCCACAGGTACCGGCGGAATGTACCTCCAAGGTTAACGGTTCAGTACAGTAGCACTGTATTTTCCTACTCTGAGAATAGGGGTGCTGACGCGTAGACGGTCATCACGACACTGCATATTGTATTATTACGAAAAAATGCAGCAATGATCCCTGAAAATGATAGGCCGCATGACGCGGCTTGGATTGGAGCGCAGAAAAGCTCATTTTTCCACCAATGATGTCGTTATATGACCGCTACAACTGCTTGGAAATCTGCCTGGCTGCATTCCAAGCCACGCCCTGTCGCTTGCAGAGATCATGACTGTATGTAAAGTAGATCGAAAAGTAGTTCGTGGCTGCGAATCAGGAAGATGACGCTGACAAAAGGATGATTCGCCACGAGTTTTGAGAAGCTAGAGAGAATTCGAAAAAAATCTGCTCACTGGTTGTCCCTGGGCAAAATTTTAAAAAAGTACTCAACTCACCGATGGGTAGATAACCAGCGACGGATACGCGTTCACTCGTTGTGATTGGCAGAGTCCAGGATCTTCGGCACAGTTTACCGCTCCAATCCTCACTACACCTTCCATAGTTCTTGCAAACTTCCGCCACTGTAACATGGTAATTAGAGAGAGAGCTTAGTCTACGATTATCGTTGCGAAATCTCACTAGATGAAAACGAGTTCAGAGTAAAAAAAAGCTCACGGCGTGAATCAGTTACCCTTTGAAATGCATCACGCCATGCACTTACCCTAGAAAACATGTGGGGTGTTGAGGACGATTCAGCATATTTAGTGAATCTCGGGGCCAGCTGGTGTACAAGCTGCACGGCTTTTGTCCTCTCAAAGAAATCTGGTACACCATTTGATAGACCCAAGAGCAATGGAAGCCATTGGTCGCCAGAGTAGGATTCAAAGCGGGATTCTGTGCTTCTTGGTTGGACCGTGCGACGATTAAACGGCGTCATCTAGCACTACATCAATACCGTTCCTCCTCATATGGAGTATAAGATATGCAAATCGTTTCAGAAAGATAGTCGACCAAGAATTTGGCTCCTGACCGCGTGTGCGATAGCACAGCCCATCCCCGCCTCCTCCAGTATTCACATGCCTTCACATCGCGGAGATAGGGAATGCGTGGCTACGTCCTCACTCGAACAAGGTGCACGATGCGTTTCCGTAGCATACTTCCACTTCACCGCAACGGTCATTCTGTCTTATGCTGGTCAGAGCCATGACTACACTTGTCTCGAAAACAGAAAGATCGCGCTACAAGCGCAACCGCCGTCACAGTCATATGAAGTACGCAACCACACCCTTCCCATCTCCGAGGAGTCGAGTGCATATCGACGCAGAAATGGATTGCGATTTTAGTATATTCAGAAATGCACACAAAGCCCTACTGCAAACGTACCGTGGGCGCTAGTTGATGACAATGTGAACAATAGGTAGAGTAGAAGTTGATGAACCACATCTCACTCGACTGTGTTACCAAGCGCTGGAATGCGGCTCGATTGGAGCGTGTTACAATGTTCTGCGATCATCATCGTAGATCCCTGGAAGAGCTGAAAAGAGAAGAATTCGGAATTTGTACACCATGCCCTCTGGGCACTAAAAAAATCAATTTCTCGCCAAACATTTTGCAATAATTATTATTTTGTGACTGTAGTAAAAAACTAAAGGTTGTCAAAGGGACAGGTGATGGGCCGATCCTATTGGCTGAGCTGTAATGAAAGCATTATAAAACGTCATGCTTCAGGTTGAAAACTCAGTCCGTGATACCTTGGTAGGTAAAATCCGTTCCTCGTAGAACTAGTCCGATCCGTAATCTCAGATAATGTCCTACTTTCGCCTTCACAGTGCTGAAAGAGAGTGCTCCGTGCAATCACTAGCCTGAAGCCAGCTGCCACCGGGTGAAAGTTTCCTAACGCCCATCCAGCGTATTTAACTTAGGCGTGTGCCTCCCTCTCCTTCCTGGCCATCTGTGTTGGTCGCTGCAGTCCTCTTTCCCGCGCAGCATTATTCTCCGGATGCACCTCCAGTGCTGGGAACTCAGCTAAGGTGTTTTCAACGATTCTGTCCTCTTTTCCTCCCTTCCATTACCATCTATGAACTCATAACTGAATGCAGCTGCTTCAAACGTGTCTTGAGAAAGACGCACGCCAAACCGATTGTATGGACGACACGGCGTTCACGCTGCGGATCCTCACTGACAGAGGTCGCACTTGGTCGCTGGAGGGAAGGGGTGAGGTCGTATTTGTCTCTGGGAAAAAACTTACTGGTTGTTGGCTTTTTCCGCCTTTTGCTTGGTGTGCAAGATGGTCGCTTTTCTTGTTTCAAATGTTCCTCCCCCCCCCCCCACCCCTCTCAATGAACGACGCTTTTTGGGGAAAAAGTAGGGGACTTTCGGGAATGTTTCACAAATCAAAAAAACGTAAAAAAATCGAAAATGTTTTGGGAATGGTAGGTAGTTGGTAATGGGAAGACTGGGTATGTAGGGTGGGGGATGAGGAAGAGAGTTCACCAGAACGTGACGTTTTGGAGGAGATTGTATTTTGCAAATTTTTCCCACGTGCGCTGGTGCACGAGCATAAATCTATCATGGCCTCGATCACTGGCTCGTTATTCATTCTAGGGTGGCAATGAAGAGGGGCGCCCAGTGGGAAAGAAACGAGGGTAGGACTAACTGGTGACTGGTGCTAATGGAAGACACGAAAAGAAAAGACGGAAAATGAAAATGGAAAAAGAAAATGGAGGGACAGCGGCTACAGCACTTTAAGTGAAAGCGAGAAAGAGAAACTTCGTTGAACAGGAAACCTTGCTGAACAGGGGAAAACGGCTCGCACTTTGGCTTAACATACCGGGACAACTCACCGAAATTCTCGTTGTAGAACTGCCATGACTGGTAGGTGTTACCGCCTTGGAAACCGTCTTCGAGTCCTTTCTCGCCGTACTGATCGTATCGTTTACGCATTTCCTCATCTTTCAGCACCTCGTAGGCCTTGTTAATTTTCACAAACTCTGCGTGAGCACCAGGATTATCCTGAAACTTGCCACTGTGAGTCACTTCTCCCAAATTTAAACTCATTCCTGGAAGTCAACCTTAAGAAATAAATAAATTTTCCGGACGAATTCTTCAGTGTAAGGAAAGAAGAAAAGAAATACCATGCAGTAGCAGTAAAGGAGTTGGAAGTTCAGAATTTTCAAATACATGGGTACCTTGTTTTTATCGGGATGTTTCTGTATGGCGAGCTTCTTGAATGCTTTTCGAATCGTGCGATCGTCGGCATCCTTCTCAACCCCAAGGATTTTATAGTAGTCCTCATCGGCGATGACCACTCCAACCAGCAGTACGACCAGCAGCGGGAGCAGTACTAACCGCATCTGAACCTGAAACAAAAGTGGTTTCCTCAATATTTGGAGCAGATCTATTGCAATTCGCAAGCACATGTTGAGCGGCGTGAAAGACGTCCTCGAAGAGAGACCGTCTAGTCGTTGACGAAAAACGGAAGCAATGCCAATGAATATGAAAGAGGTCCTCGGCGATATGCCCTAATGGCTATGCCCTTCATGGCTCAGTGGAAGGCTTTTATCGATTGCATGGATGAAGACAAGGAAAAATGTAGGGATCGGTGTTAAAAAGTTCTGCAAGATGACTTTTTGACTCTGACTCTCAACTAGTAGACTGTTCCATGCTAATAGGCTGCTCCATGATTTCCCGATACCTCGGCTATTTTCGGACATTGTCTCTGTTTTTTTTTCTGATTTCTAGTACCTGTTTACTCAACATAGACATCACCTGTCACCTTATCTCTCTCCGGTCATCGAATTCCTTGAGCAGACGTGGGCACCGTCCTCATTCGTCAGGTAGCGGGCTAGTCCTCTGGATTTTTTGGATTGAGGATAACGACGCTTTTGTTCCTTACGTACACAGCTTTCGTGGGGAAGTTCGAGAAGGCGCAGGCGGTCGTGCCGGTGTTCGTTTGACTCGTGGGTTATTGTCGGTTACCGCTCTAGTTCAACGGACATCACAAAATCGCGCGACCGGGGTATTCTGCCGTTGGAAAAAGATCTTGTAAAGGACGACTCTCTTCAAGAATTCCTCCTCTGGTACGATCCCCTTCCCCATCTCCCATACTGCCTACTACGTCCATGAATTTTCCCAAATTCCTACCACTTTCCCGCAGTTTCTCCCGAAAAAACTGCCGTCAAGTGGGAGGGCGTTGGAAAAGGGAAGGAGGATATATAACGCACGTGAAACGGGGAAAAACGAGAAAAGCCAACAATCGAAAACATCTTTAACAAAGGCAAAGACGTCACACGCTGGATCGTACGACGTGCCCTGGGCATCACTTCTCAGGCCTACGCGAACTTGAATCCCACTGCTAATTCGGCCACGCTCCTGATTTTCGACCGTTCCTGGACACATTTTTGATTACACACCATTATTTACATCATGGTGCCAGTTTACAGGAGACTGTTTAGCGTAAATCTCTGAAGCCCTCTGTTCAAAGAGATATTGGAGTCAGTTTTTGAACCGCTTTGATTTATTTAGAATTTTCCCCAAGAAGGTGGGCTAGGGAGTAAATTCCGCTTTATTCGGCTGGAACGAGACCAAGGCTATAGAGTGGATGCGGAACAATCGTACATCAAGGAGCCCGAATTGCCTCCAAATTATTTCGGAATGCGAGACGAGTGTCACCAGAAAACCAGGATTACGGCTACACGACCAATCCGTTAGTTAGGTTTCACATTGCAGTGAGACGTTAAGAGAAACGGTAATGTCTAATTGTGATTAGAGCTAGTGAGGGCTCGGCACATGGGAAATTAAGCTCCAAATCCCCAGATTTCGCCCAGTTCACAGAGATGTCTCATTATTGCCATGCTCTCACTTCGAAGGTGCGTGGGTGCCCTACGACGGCTAGAGTACCGATGCTGCTCAACAATGTTGCGTAGAAAATCGCAACCGAGAGTGGTGGAGCATCTAGTGCGTAGATTTTTCGAAAAAATGAGCTGTCTTAGAGTAGACCGCTTTTGCAGTGTACTAGTTTGACAGAGCATGACCTCACCTGTCACTTGGTCCGTATGGTAGTGTCAATGGTCGTTTGCGCAGCCTGTCGTTCGAGCGATCCTACCCGGCGCTCTCAGACAAACTCTACCGTTCACCTCCGATTTCTGCATGTGCGAGGTGAATGGTTCAACAGCAGCAGTAGCGTGCCATTTCGTCCGCTCAAGTGCACGGAATGGGCTTGGAGAGTAGTGATGCCCAGGTGCTTTTCTCCTGACTCCGTCCGCGTTAGCCTCAGTTGTCATCGTCGACATCAAAATCTTTACTAGCGAGCAAGCAGTCAGATGGCGGCAACGAGGGCGCAGAATGCGGACGGCACCGAGTCTCACTGCCCTCAAGCCCCCCCTTCCCTGCACCTTTGGCACGCGTACTGCACTGCGAACCCATCCATCTCACACATGGCCAAGCGACCGCTCTGGTGTGAAAGTAAATTATCTTTGGAAAAATAATACTTTCTTAGGCTGGTTGAGGAAAAACTGGATAGTAATCACAAAGACTGCGAGCAGGGAGTGGGATAACTGAATCGCCAAAAGTCGACATCACCATAATGATATCTTGGAACCTTCGTAAGTTTTTCAGCCGATTTCTCTAGGCTAAATTCAATTTTGGCGAAAATTCCTAGACCGAACTCAACTATAAATCAACTGCTACGGTATTTATATACGCCAAGCCAGCTGGCTAACTGCTTTTATCCCAAACACGAAGTTTTGTCACCGGGTGATGAATCCGAAAGCAGTGAAACGTCTATAACTCCCGAACGTGAACGGATCAGAAAATTCCAGTCCATGCAGGCTCACACTATGGCGGAAAGTGATGATAATAGCACGACTTGAGAGCGTAAAACACTGGCTTATTCATTGACTGGTCCGGAAAGTCACAGTCATACACACAGGCCAAATCGTACTTAAATTGACACAATTTGGCTCTGAGTGGAAGTGGAATTCGCGGCGAATCTCACGAAAGAATTATCACAATTCAAACCTCCTCAAGCTTAAAAAATTCACGGTGCAAAGAAGTTAACGAGAAGAAATATGTCCTCCTTTCTTGTTGCTGCAATATATTTGGAATAATGAAAGAAAAATTCCGAGTTTTTTTTCGCTCGCGCTTAATCGAATGACAGGATAGCGGCGATATGAAAACGAAAAGCTTAGTGCATTCCTAACCAAAAGTGTCCGAAAAAGTTGTGAACGTTTACGAAATAGGAGTATACAACGCCTTGCTTGCTAGGGAAACAAAAGGGCTATATCCCGAACAAGCTAGATTTCTGAATGTATGGCAAAAATGACCAAAAATAAACAATCGTGAAGGGGACACGTGTTCCTCAGATAAATGGGTCAGATGCAGAAAAATGGAGAGCGCTGCAACGCCCAGACACACTTTCTGGAAAGCGCTGTGACCTTGTGGTCAGCCGCAGAATCGAACCGAAAACTATTATGTTGACGAAACTGGTCTGAGAAAAGTCTGTCATTCCGTTTCACGCTAGACCCCTCCATATATTGCATATTCCTGCCCATAACTTCAGTGACCACCCTTCTTTCCTCTCTCTACAGCCTCTACTCAACTATGAACAATATCACAGCTAGTATAGGATTAGAACGTTTTATTGAGTTATGGGGGGGGGAACCGGGAATTTTTGTCCTTTGTAGGCAGAGATAGCGTAGTGGCAGACGCCGCTTGTTACGAGCACGCCAGGAAAGGGGAGGGTG